ACCACGAGGCAAGTGGACCGCCGCCGTCCGATCGGCCGCCTGTTCGCAGACCCACCACCGCTCCGCTGTGACCGGCTATGCTGGGCAGGTACAGCGCGGCACGAACCGCGACCCTCCCTCCGTCGGCGGTCGGCTAAGTGCGCTGTACGTGTCTACGAGTAGCGGGTGCGTGCCGCCGGCGCCCGTCGCCGCGTGGAAGCGACGACCAGTCGCATCGCAGGCGGCGGCACGCGAGCGCGACGACAACCTTGGTGGCGCCGATTCAGGCGCGCGTGCCGGCGAGACGACCTCCGAGCTGCGCCCGCCCGACCGCGTCGAACCCCGCCGCCCAGTGTTGCGCATACTGGCACATTGTATAGTCACCCCCCATAATTCAAACAAAAGGCAGCTACCTAACGCGCTATTGCTAACTGAGCGAGGCATGTGGCTCGCTGGGGAGATTAGGCATCAACACTCGGCGAGATAACCTTTGACCCGGTACACAGCTACACAATAAAATGCATTATGATTTATAATATCAATGTCTACCGTCAAATTCAGAACCCTGTGTTACACTTACAGGTTGGTATTATTGATCATGTATACATAGATATGAGTACAGTAGTACCAGGGGTTAATAATGACAATCATTATTAACCCCTGGTAGTATGTATGTGTGTGTGCATTCAATGATTCATATAAATTTATATGCACATAGTATGGATGAAAATGGCAATTGTAAATCAATCATATATGCCTCACTTCTTGAAACCTAGACTTTTCACCAGGCATACAAGAGACCATAATAGATCTGTTTGCCGTAAAATTAAACTTCTTCTACTCCAACTGTTTGGATTAGATCGGTTGCTGAAGACATTTGATCGTGGGTTACGACTAACTTTTTAAGTTTGTAGGCAAAATGCTAGAAAAATTCACACACCCAGTGACCCATAACAGTTTATAAATTCAAGGTCAAAATTTAAAAACACAAGCGAGCAGTGTATCACTGTATGAAAACGGGCTTTCTACGCACATTGCATGTAAGTTGTAGAGGGCATTTATAGAGTCCTATATTGTTATAATATACTCTGACATTCATTAGAATTTAGAGTGGGTGGAAAATCATGGATTCACAGCGAAAAAGACCTATCGCTAAATGTTGTAGTGAGGGAAGTTTGAGGTCGTTATAAACTTATAGTCACAATTAGCACAATTCCATGCCTAATTTCGGAACCCTGGACAAATATCGATAACAGAAAAATGATATGATTGTGATATTAAAATTTATTTAAACATTGTTTAGACCTATTTATATAAAAGCAATGAAAAATAAAATATATAATACAATCATAAATATATATATATCAGAAAATAATTAATGATATAATACACCCTATTATCCTATGCATAACATAGGTCGATAGCATTCAAGCAGATATGTAATAATATCTTTAAAAACGAAGCGCCAATCGATTGAAAGCGTCCAAGGAATTAACACATCCGGTCGAAACAGTCCCATTTAAAATTTCCGTCTCCCGTGCGTGAACCTACCCTGGTTGATCGTAAAATCGTTATAACTTTTGCCACCACAATCCGCTGTACCGACCTATCGATATGATCGACTCCCACTCTCTCTGTCTTCCGTATACACTGCTGATGTATTGATATGATTGACTCACTCTTATGGGTTTTTTTTTAATATATACACTGCCGATGTATCGATAATGAACGACTCTCACTTTCTCCGTCGTCCATATACAGGGCCGATGCATCGATATGATCGACTCACTTTTACAGATTTCAGTATATATATACACTGCCAATGTATCGATATGATCGACTCTCGCTCGCTCTGTCTTCGGCATATATACAGTCCCTCGGAGTCCCCCGCGAGGTAAGGTTGAGTCGGGGCGTCACGGCAGTGGGCGGTGGCTGCTGCTAGGGAATGCGCACGAGATTCCCACCTTGCTTAGCCGCCTCGTACTCCTCCTCCGTCGTCATGACGCCGCGCATGAATGGACTCCCGTACCCGTAGCCTCGAGACATTAAGATACGGCTGCAGCGAATACGTAGTGTGATTGCCGTACCCGTAGCCTCGAGACATTAAGATACGGCTACCGTACCCGTAGCCACTGCCTTTCTCATACGCCCGACCGCCGGGCCAATAGTAACTTCCTAATTCCTAATTTGACGTATCTCCTCCGAAACCGCCGTAAGGAATGTGCCCATTTTCCTCTTACCGGGGGTTTCCAATGTGGCGCTTTTTTTTAGGGTTAGGGTTAGGGTTTAGGTTAGGTTTAGGGTTTAGGTTAGGTTAGGGTTAGGGTTAGGTTTTTTTTTTAAGTGCTTAGTAGTCATATCCTAAGTGCCTAGTAGTCATATCATATCGCATCTAACTGCCGGGTGCAACCTAAGATAGAAGGGGCGGTTAGACACTAATAACGATATTATGAGTAGTTATTTAAGATTTATCTTGCCTGTGTGCCGATTCTCCTGTGTAAAGCACGCCAGTGACGCCACGCATGCTTTTTCTAGTTAATAATTGTTCGTAGAGATGGCAGCACTTACCGATCGCAATGGAGACTTGCCAAAGGGCAATGAGTTTTGCCAGAGGGCAAAGGGCAGTGGCAGAGTCAACTCACAAATGAGTTTTGTGAGACAGAATTGAGCCCTGTCCTGCATGGCGCCCCGTACACAGGAGACCTGTGTTCGCGTATGCCCAGTGTCGGTCAATTAAAACAACATTTTGCTGAAATAATACGTTGAAAGTGGGGAGGAAACCACTCGTTGCCACAGCTTCACATGAATAATGAATCCTCACGCTTCCCTTTATTATTGCAATAATGTGACTGACTGACATAACACTAATGAAATTAAAATGAGCAGATATAGATGGCGATACAATATGTTGTCTTTATGATAAATTCAGCCGCGTAGCCAGGTTTTATGAATGACTGCGACGGTCTTTTGTTTAAATAATAGGCCTACATTTAGTTTAGATAGCACATACCCACCAGTCATTTTAATCACAGGCACTTGGAGCGTTTCAATAATATCGAGTAGGCGAAACCGCATAACAGGCCACGAATGCGTGCGTGTGTTCCGATTGCGTTGCTGAGCTCGCGTTACGGTATCACCTGTCGACTCTCGCTCTGAAGGCTTATTTGCCGCCACTAGCCGTCTACGAAGTCAACCAGGTCTGTACTGACGTTTGTATGTATTCTTATTCGAGGTGTTTCGCGTCGCGTTTTGTCGTAATCTGGGAATCCCACATCGATTGACTGCTGCCTCATGTTAGTTTAATGCAATATAGTATAGGAAGCTTATTATATTATGATTGCTATGATGATGCAATATGTATTAAGAGGAAGTAGGACGCCAATGTTTTTGCTTGGTGCCCGACCTTGATATTCGAATTTTATTTTCCTATCTTAATTAGCATTACTATTGTATTGGATTGAGCGAGTATTACTATTTAGGGGGGATGGCTACGTTGTCTCGTCGTTTCCGGTCGTGAATATTGCTATTCAGACACGATGTCAATATCTTGTCGTGTATTGTGACGTTTTTCTTACTTTATGTTTGCGCTATGCTTGTATTTGTCACGTAGTCTATGCTTGCTACGTGAGTGGCATGGTGCGTGTATAGGTAAGTTTAAGTATGAAAGCGAATGGACTCCCGTACCCGTAGCCTCGAGACATTAAGATACGGCTACCGTACCCGTAGCCACTGCCTTCTATTTTTTCCCATGCAACTGTTTGTGGTACAGGGTTCAACATTAACTTTTTATTTCACTAGACCATCGGGCTAGTAACTGAGGAAAACCACTAGCCCTGACCTAACTTTCACTAGACCATCGGGCTAGTAACTGAGGAAAACCACTAGCCCTGACCTAACTTTCACTAGCCCAGACCCAGACCTTTGTTATGAAAAACTTTATTTAGATAAGAGTGTGTCATCGTATGAATTCATAGATGCTGTTTCTCGCGCTTTAAATCGTGCGTGGGCCAAGTTCACGTGCAATATTCGTATTCTACCACGGGCATACACGAGCGCACGGTTTATCGATCGTCTACTGCGGCTGGCAGCAAGCTGGGTTATTGTTTTTACCGAAGGGTAGACTGGTATCCGGCTTTACGCTCTGCTAGACAATGTACACGCTCTGCGACAAAACAGTGCGGCCGCGAACCAGTCTAGCCAGAGGTGACCTTTCAGTGCAATATATATGACCAATTCTAACATGACCAGTCGGGCTACTAGCACTCTGGTTGTATGCGACCGGACCAAGCATTTACCCGACTAGGTCGGTCGGACGTGGGTTAGTGTCGAACCCTGTGGTAGGGTAGGGCTTCAGCCCCTAAATGTAACATATATCCGGTGGATTTAATTCACCATAAAATAGTAAAATATATAGGCTTTGGTAGTCATCAAGAGCACGTGACTCCATACTTTTTTGATATAAAATTACTGAAATTAGAGGATCTCTACATTTTTGAACTAGGTAAATTTATGTACAAATATCATTACAACAGATTACCTATCATATATAAGATTTCAAGATTTCGAGATTTTTATTTGTGCTAAACGAGGATAAATCAAACAGTGGGAAAATTTTAAAACAGTTATAACTTTGTTAATATAATGCACGGGTATGGCGAAAGGACCTTGCGGTCATCGAATCAGCCATACACTATATAGATACAGTACATATTGTTTTCCAAGACACGATGTTGAATGATATTTACAATACATGACATGATCTGATGAATATATATATATATATGACTTCTTTACTAAGGTTTGTGACTTGCATACATATGAAACTTGTTATTTGAAACGCTCAACTTATCATCTCCCGAGAGCGCGTTCAGCAATGCCAATAGGTCAGATTTCTTTAAAGTTTAAAGGAGTTAAATGTTGGGAAGCTATTCCCATGGAAATGAAGACTAACTCATTTTATTTATTTAAGAAATTATATAGACAACTTCTTCTTAACAAGTATAAAAAGTAAAAATTGTGCGAGAACTGATTCATATTACAACTTACTTCATGAGTGCACCTGTTGTGCACCTGCACCTGCACTGCAAGGTGTTTGAATGTACAAATTTCATTCATGTACTCGTTTTAGGGCAACCCCAGTAGCCCATAAAACTTAAATTATGTTATGCCAGTGAGTCCATCTATACACTTTGTAAAATCTATCTTCACTATTTATATTTTCAGCTACAGAGAGAGGTTCAATAATTGGCATTAAATACTAACGACAATGAAGTAATCTCACACTGAAAGATGTCGGATGACAACCAAAGCCAGATGTTACTGTCTGGTAGTCAAGCCATGGCAGTTCCATCAGCAAGAAAAAGAAAACTTAGTTCCCTAGAAGTTGATGGGAGTGCAAGCTCAGAGGCTGGCTCAATCACCTGTGATAACCGACAAGAACAGGTAAAGCAGGTGCTATTTTTTTAAATCCATATATGTTTCTTATTTAGAATTGTTCATGTACTTATATATATATATATGTGTATATGCTTATGTCTTACATATTTCTTTCAAGGTCTTAAGCACAGTATCATGGGAAGAACAGAGTTTATACAACTTGTCCAAGGAGGAGTTAATCACATTAGTGATCCTCAGGGGAAAAGAAATAAATAAGGTGAAAGAAGAAAACAATCTTTTGAGAGAGTTCAACTTCCAACTTCAAAAAGGTTTGTGCACAATTTGAAAGGTGACTTGGAAGATATCAGAAATGTAGTATATGTGGTATTTAGCAGTTAGTAATCAAGATAGTAATAATCAAATATATCATCACAGTTTTATGTTGTTATAAAAACAATCTGCTTCCACTTATTGCTATTGGAAAAAAGTGGATTAACTTCCTTGTTTTTCAGGTCTTCCAAGCTTAAGTAGAGATCTCCTAAGAACTCTGGAACTAGTAAAAGAATCGCAACTTACCCCAAACACTGCATGCTCTGAAGCGCAGAACTATAGAGTTGATTGTGGTGTAACACTAGCAAACACATGGCCATATCTATCCAGTCACGTCAGTAGCACATACTGTCCTAGTGCCATACCTAGTCAACAAGATCTTCCTTCTCCCCCTGTTGATATGCGAAAGCACACAGACAGGTTGAGCCTTGGCTCCAGTGTGATATCGCCATGTCTGCCAGCTGGAAGAACTCTGCAAGAGACGAATCAACGAGACGACATGGCTGTGAATTTGGCTGTGAACCGCAGCGGTGGCGGCTGTAGCAGCTTGGCTAACAGTGACGTCTGCATGAACGTAGCGAATGGTTTCGGTGACCAGTTATCGCCGGCGTCGACGATTACATCCAGCATGGCGTCTGAGCAGATGCGCCCACCAGTGACAAGCACTCGCATCGGCTGCAGCAGCGCAAGCCGCAGCATCAACGACATTGCAAACTCCCTGCGCATCCCTTTGATGGCTGGGTCAGAGGGTTCCCCTAAACCTACACAGGAAGATGTCATCTCACCTACCAGCAATGCCACGAGCAACGGCAGCACATGTGTCTCTCCTATTGTAGCACAAGGACAGGATGATAGTCCTAGAGATAGAGATGAAGAAGAGATGGTTAGTAACAATTCATACACTGTCTATGACTCTAGATGTAGAGTATTGTAGAATGGATATATGTGCATTCAACCATAAAATGTGCTTTAATATGTGTAACTTAATTTGTGCTGTATGGCTTTGGGATTGTACTCCATTGATGCATGATTAATCCACGCGTGTGAAATTGTGTGACACACAGTATTTGCTGAATAGTACTATAGGAGACTTGCAAAGGAAAGATTACACATAATCACCATATCTGTTTCTGTGCAAATAAGGTGGAGCTGCATCCTGGTGTAAGCATACCTGCGCGTCAGCTGGAATACTGCAATACTGCATGGACGTACACACGTCTGGTACGGCAGCTGATGGTTGCACTGTTTGACCGTCAGACCCTGGCTTCGTCCTCCGTCATGGGCCGTCGCCCCACCGTCCTGAAGGATGCCGGAGCAAAGCCAGCGCTGGACCCCTGTAGACGCGATGCCATCATTAGTGAGTGAAGCCGTGCACTTCCTCTATGTAATAGAAGTAGAGCGATTTATAGTGATTTAAAATTTTGTCAATCCCACTCGAAATTAACAGGCTAAAGCATAAGCATACACTGAGAGTGCATACACCTGAATCGAAGTACAGGTGTGGTGGCACTGAATGGAACAAACTTGTCTTCAATTGTTTGTTAGATGTTTTACAGTAATGCAACGTGGACCTTTATTAATGGCATGTTGCTCCTTTCATTATGGTTTACCTTTGTGTATAAATATGCACACACACATACAGTAGTTACGACATGACACTCATGCACGTGCACATGCATACGGCACACGCACATACGCACGTATGCACGCACGCACGCACGCACGCACGCACACACACACACACACAATCCTGGCTGGTATAAACAGTGTAAAGATTTTTTGACCATACCAATTCTTCATGTTTTTCCCGACTTAATCCCAATGTACTAATTTGGTGATTATGCATGGTGTGCATTTGTTATTTAAGACTACGTGCAGTCAAGATTTTCAAATATTGATCCAACACAAGTGAAACAGGCCATGGCACAGAAATGTCGAGAGTTACATGACCAGTATCGCCACACATTGAGGGATGCGAGTGGAGACAGGTGATTGCTGACATAAATGCTGTGAATAGCAGCTACTTTCCGTGTGGTATTATTATACAAATATCTCGATGTCCTACAGTGTCATGATGTCACAGTAAGCACGTATATTGCCAGTTGGTTATAGCAACCTCGTGGCATAATGTTGCATAACACCAACAAATGTGTAAACAGTTGCGTGAGTGCAGCTACTAGGAAAGATTTGTACATGTCTCATGATTGATGATTCTCTAGGTCTGTGGAAAACCAGCTGCCAGTCTACAGTGGGGTTAGTCTACTTGCTATGAAGAATGAGTCGACTAGTCTTCATGGTAGTGATGATGACGGATTGGAATTCTGAGAATACTTACATCCGACACGCATATATACAGCAGTGAGTAGTTTAACGTGGACAAAGCTTGCTGCGGTGATTCACTAATAATGTAAATTGCTCCACTCGATTCCACGATGGAAGAATGAAGCTCTCCTACATTGACGTAATTAAGCCACCATGTGTTTTAGCTTTGTGGTGGTTAGACATGTAGCTATATATATATATATATATATTAGTCACCAGTAGAATGCATACATGTGTGCGTGTGCGTGCGTGTGTGCGTGTGTGTTCTTTATTGGTGAATCCTACAGCAATTGTCATACGAGCAATGATTAAAGATGGCATGGAAATATGAAAACTTACCGATTCAAATGGTTATATGATGATTGGTGCCAGTATTGATCCATGTCATGTGATATATCAGTGCTTTAAGTAAATGTTGTGATAGGCAGGCATCTCAATATATTCATAGTCTCTCTAGTTTAATAAAATTTTGAAAAAAACTTGTGATATTCACAACTTTATTACCTTCTGAACTGCTGAAACTGCTCTTCAACATCAAGGCAAATTCAATACAGGCTTCCTGCACGAACTCATTTTCACACCATTTCTCTGGAAATGGTTACGTTGAGCATTTTCAGTTCATGCAACTCAGTGCATTGATTTATAAGACCTTTTTGTGACCTATCAGCTGTAACGCTAGACAGTGCTCTGCAGGGCAGGCAGACTCTGCATTGTCTAAAACCACTTAGGTACATATTTACAGGAGCATATATATTGGGGCTTCAAATTCTTTAAGTACTATCTATGTGACAGCAACAGGCAGAAAAGTTTTGCATGTTGAAGGGTTCAAGCAGAACAACATTCATTATCACACTACCTAAAAGTCTGCATATTTGCGTTTGATTTGAAGATACAGCAGCAAAAATAGACTGTTCTTTGTTGGCTTAAAGGAACAGTAGCCTCTAGGATTTTACTGCACACAACTGTACTTAGGCCATCATTTTTTATTTTGTTGGTTTACAGAATTTTTGTTGTTGTTGACTCGGTAGGGTAAAAAAAAAAAAAAAAAAATGTTTTGTCAGATCAAACAAGTCAAAATACAGTGATACTGTTATACATGATATTAAAGTATTTTAATAAAACTAAATGAAAACAAAACTCAACTTGTAATTATTTTTACTTTTATTATAAACTATTTGTTTATGAAATGCTTTTGTTTTTTACATTTAAATTTTTTTTATTCATATTTCTTAGAGAAAAGGTCGGCGGGAATAAAAAAATACAGATTTTCAATTTTTATTTTTTTTGTTTTTCTTGAAAATTCGGGTCGGCGGATCTGTAAACCAACAAAATAAAAAATTCTCGCCTTACTGTATAACAAATCGTCTATACCCACACGTATTTGTTACCAGATACCTAATTTAATTGTTATAATTATTTACACATCAACGCTACGAAATTTGAACGGCGCCATGACACCCACGACCGTGCTGCCGCCCCGAAAAAGTTGCGTATTTAACAATTTATTTTGCAGGTTACAGACCGAGGGCTAATCACAAAAGTGCAATTATATTTATACCTAAATGCTATTTAACCGAACGATATTCATTTTAGGGCAAATTTTTTTTTTGCTGTTAGATATTCGAATGCAAGGGTCGTTTGAATTAAGCGTGAGACTGCTGAGACTGTTCCGTTGCTGGAATACTGTATACGATTTAAGATTCTTGCACCATTTCCAGTTTACCTGCGACTTCTTATTATTGGCGCGATAGACCCTATATACAGCTATAGGTTCTCCTTGCACATATTATTGCCACGAGCCGGCAATGACGCACAGGCCATCATCAAATAAGATACTAAATACAGCATGCCAAGTTGCGCATCAGATACAGACATCATGATTGTAGCAAGCAGCTTTTGAGGGACAACAACAGGAGTAGGACGGACATGTCGCTCTATTCACGCTCTCCCGATATCATTGTACGAAGCGCACGTGCCGTAGGACAGCGTGATGGGAAAGACATGTCAACTTATTGAAAAAAACTAAACATTTTTAAACGCGCGTCTAGCTATTTTGTGCGGCGGCCCATGTATTGTCGTATTCTACCAGTCACGCCGATACACACCGTAGCCTACCAATCTCTCTGTGTCTGCCTGGACCAATGCTTTAAACGACAATTGGTTTTATTTGGTTAGTGCTTTTTCGTCACTAAATTGAAAGGAGATAGATCATAGCAGCAAGACGGAGCATTCATAATTACAGAGCAGTGACAGCAAGATCCATTGCGTTAGTTACATCTTTACAGCTCTTAGTCACTGTGGGTGCAAAACGGAGCCACAGATGTCGCGTGTCTATTTTTTCTCTTAATTTATCAGATTTCTTAGCTGCAGTCACTGTGCCGACAGCTAAGATATCGGTCGCTATAGTGAATTCCGCTAAATCCTAACTGTAAGCAATGAACGAGACAAGTAAGAAGAACAGGGCAGTCGGTGCGTCAGCGTCTGATATAGATGCTGATGCTGAGGATGACATCGTCGCGACACAAACGGTTGACAGCGAAGCCGCGACCAGCGACGCAGGTGACAGTTGTGCCGCCATCCGCCATGGGAACGCGTCCACAAGCAGCCAGCAAGAAAGCTCGACAAACGTGGAAACCATCAATAACCCGGGAAACAGAGAGAGCAGGGCAACTCTGTCACACACCGATCACGGCTGGGCGTGGATGGTGCTGGCTGGTTCGTGCATCAATACCTTCGTGCTCGGCGCTACGAAATCGTGTTTCTCCGTGCTCTTCGTAGAATTCCTCAATATATTTCAGGAGGATAAAAGTTCGATCGCTCTCGTAGGATCGCTGCAAGCTGGCATAACATGGATGGGAGGTATGCTGAAGAATTCACTCTCTGACTAGCTATACGTATTTATTTCAAAGACGTATGTTAAACGTCTTCACTGCTACAGGACGGTGTTTACAGTGCAACTATAGAGAGAATAATTATAGATATTAAATGTTTTTAAACGGTCTACCAATGCCGTACGTCACCAAATACGTTATTTAAAATTATTGTTTCTCGTTATATTAATACGATGTATTTTATTGCTTCTACATAATGCTCTTATTAAGCTTCCGCGGCAATACAATTGGCCATATTGATAATATCCTAAATCTATAGCGCATTTCTACATAGTTTCTTGTATGATATCTCACGACAAGAAACAAAGAGAGAGAGAGAGAGAGAGAGAGAGAGTGTGTGTGTGTGTGTGTGTGTGTGTGTGTGTGTGTGTGTGTG